TCCCTTCCTCTCCCCACAACAGACACCCTGTGAGGTAAGTGGGGCTGAGAGAGCTCTCTTGAGAGAACAGCTCTGAGAGAACTGTGACTGACCCAAGGTCACCAAGCTGGCTGCATGTGGAGGAGTAGAGAATCAAACCTGGTTCTCCAGACTAGAGTCTGCCACTCTTAACCACCACACCAAACTGGCTCACAGAAGAGTGAATCCACTAAACTTGAAATCACACAACTCATTTACTGTGGGGGCTCCTTTTTCTATAAAGACAGTGAAGAGGTTCAGGGGTCCCAGCTGATCCCAAAAGGAGATCAGAGAGAGAGAGAGAACTCGGTTGATTTAACTTCAGTTTAAAACTTTACATGTGGACGGAATGACTGAGGGGAATCGCTGGATCCCTTAAGAACACACAGAAGTGAGGAACACTGCAAATAAAGAATCTACAGCAACTGGAATGTGCATGTCTGAGATCTCCAACAGGAGCATCCTGACTGAAGCAGAACCACGCCAAACTTGAAATGCTCCTGCAGGATCTGGAGCTGCCTTCTCACTTTCTGCAGCGGCTGCCTCTTCTGGTGAGCTCGGCTAACTGTGCTCACTGAGAAGCAAGGACATATACCCCCTCTTCTGCAACAGCTAGGACAACACGGAAAAAGCAGGGGCACTACTGTTTGCAAAACAGTCTCCATAGCATGGTCCACTCTTTGCTGAGCTCAGGCACTGTCCCCAAACATTTGTTTTTCCTCCCAGGAAATGCAATCCACATTTTAATTTTTGTATTATCTACTTTCGATCACATTTTTATCCCCCCTTTCCCCCACAGAGCTCAAACTGGCATATATAGTTCTCCTTGCCACCATTTTATCTTCAACAGTAACCTCACTACAGAGGCTAACCTGAGACAGAGAGAGGTTCACCCAAGATCACCCAGAGAGTTTCCTTACTGAGTAGAGATATGGACTGAGATTTCCTAGTACAGCATCCTAAGAGCTACACCGCACCGGCTATCTTATTTAGATTTGGAGCCTTATAAGTACAGTCAGTGTTTTCATGCTAAGCTATCTTGGGGGGGGGGGGTTGAGTGTTTTGAACATTAACTTTTGTACTCTGGCAGACAAACAATGCATGGCATAAAATATAAAATGTCTGCACATGTGATACTCCACAGGCCCATTTTGATTACAGCATTTCTGACGGAACCAATCCTTAGCATGACCTGAAACATGCTCTACTAGGTCCTGTTTCAAACTTTCACAACTGGCTTAGATCAGATCCAGGTGGGTAGCTGTCTGAAGCAGCAGAACAAAATGCACACAAAAGCTCATACCTTGAGTACAACTTTGCTGGTCTTAAAGGTGTCACCGGACGCAAACTTTGTTCTACTGGCTTAGATCAGAGATGCTTCAGTAGGCTATGCGTGTACACAGAAATCATCTGTATGTGAAGCTCAGTGCAGGTAGAAGAGATTCTGACATTGATTTAAGCATAGTCAAGTGAAATTTATTACAAAATGCAGATGCACTCACCGTTGAACATGCTGTTTGCAATGGCACCACATGGAGCCATTGGTGTCCCATTTTTGTAAACTGCGAAAGGCGCACAGTTGCTGTTTTGAATCTGAATGCAAGAGACGCATGAGTCAATTAGGAATGCCTCTCTGGACAGCCAACATTTTTAGTGATTTAGGCATACATTGGCAACAGCAACATTTATCAATTGAATGTAGTATCCAATGTTATCTAAAGCTGTTACCGATTGTTTTTCTTTACTCAGTCCTAACTCTGAATGCAAAGTTACCTATGGCCAGGGAATTATAGGTTCCTTGGATTCTGTTCAAAATCCTTTTAGTAAATTATTCACAAAATATAGAAATACAGAAAATATAGAAAAAATTTATAGTCATGTCCTTCAACTGGCAGGATTAGCTAGCCCGAATTGCCCCAGACAATTTCCATTCCCTCATGGGAGCAATTGGTAGATCTATTTCTGAATTACGCAGCATCCCATTAAGTCGCCATAGTTAATCTCTTAATTCCATCTATTAGGCCGATATCGGATACTTTACAGACTGAAAAGCAAGGGCACACGGAGGCAAAGTTAAATCACTTTCTCAATGTCGAGCTCAGAAAATATATTGGACCACTCAACTGCCTGCCACACACAAACGATAGTTTCAGTGCCGTGTTCTCTGTCATTCAAATGGCTTACACAACAAAAAACAACAAATCACAACAACCCTAATAACTGCAGCCAAGTAAAAGGGGTAAAAAGACATACCGTATTTTCCGGCGTATAAGACGACTGGGCGTATAAGACGACCCTCAACTTTTCCAGTTAAAATATAGAGTTTGGGATATACTTGTTTTGTTTTTCGGTTGTTTGCTACGCTCAAAGCGCAGCATGTACTACTGAAAGCGATAGAAAGACCAGAGTACCGTATTTACCGGCGTATAAGACGACCCCCCATTTCTGAGAAGATTTCCCTGGGTTAAAAAGTAGTCTTATACACCAGAAAATACAGTACTCTGTTCCTCTATTTTATCCTCACAAGAACCCTGCAAGGGAAGTCAGGCTGAGAAAGAGAGATTGGTCTAGGCTGCCCCCTATTATCCTCCATGATGAAATGGGGATTTGAATCAGGTCTCCCCAGACCCAATCGACCACACTAACCTCATAGTGGTTAAAAACATTAGCTGGTTAAAAACATGTTCTGTCTTCACAATTTATATTATACACAGCATCTCCATGAGAAGAATGCAGAGCGGATGACAAATGAATTTTCAAGTGGTAAATTCCCTAATTGATTGAAACAAATAGTGAACCTCATATATTACATGATTTACATAAAGACTTGTAAACGAGAAAGCTTCTATAGGGGACAGTTACGATATATATCTACTCTCAAACCAATTATCATGAAGAAGGTGACCCAAAAGGTATTGTATTTTGTGACCCAGGTCTTTATATTAAGAAGGCTATACTTCTAGCAGCGTACCTCGCTGTTCCCAGACAGTAAGCAAAACACACTGTAGGACAGCGGTCCCCAATGTCTATTGATTTTAGCTGTAACTAATTATTTATTGTATTGTTAAACTTGCTGTTTGATAATGATGTACACTGCCCTGAGCCCTTCGGGGGAGGGCGGTTTATAAATAAAGTAGTAGTGGTGGTAGTAGCAGTAATAATAATAATAATATTGGCAGTGGCTGGGCCAACAGGAGGGCTTGAAACCAGCCAGATTTTAGTCCAGCAACCCCTTGGAGACAAACGGGATTTTCAGGGCATAAGCTTTTTTTAAGAGTCAAAACTCCCTTTGTCAGATTCTGATCCTTAAAAGCTCATACTCTGAGAATCTTGTTGGCCTTTAAGGTACTACTGCATCCGAATCTTGCTGTCTACTGCAGACCGGCATGGCTTTCCCTCTGAAACTATCGTAAACCAGCCAGACTCCTTTCTTGTCAGTAATGTGTGCCTAAATTTGCAGCCTTTAAATAAACCCTTCAACATAGCAAAAATATCAGTAGTATGAAAAGAACTTCAGACGTCCTTACGTTTACATCCCGGCCCAATAACTGTGCGTAGCTTCTGGAATGAACATATCGACGGTGGTTCTGATAAAAGTTATGCAATCCATAATACATAAAGATATCGCCCTATAAACAAAAAAGAAACAGCACACAGAAATGAAGAGTGACTGCTAGCCCTGAACCTGGCGGGCCACTATCAGCAGCCGAGAAAAGTGGAAGCATAATTTGAATGTACTGGACAAGAATGGCATCTGAAGCTCTGAACAACTTAAAAGAGATTAGGGCCACGGGGTGATTCTTTCGTGGCTCTCTCAGTCACGGATGAGCTAAAACTGAAATCAATTTACTCACTGTGGTCTGGACTCAGCACAAGAATTTAATACGCTCATATAGGAATCAGTCCCAGACTCCCAGGAGTTAACTTCACCCACAGCCTTGATCAGTGGAGAATAAGAGAAAACACACTGGAGACAAACACACACACCTGCCCCACTCACTATATGTCCTACTGTTATTCAAAAGGCATTTAGCACTAGTAGCACACAAAGCACATTTATGACATACAACCACTTTAAAGTCCTCCTAACCAGCATAGGAGAGGTTGGCATGTGCTGAGCTCTCCCCCTTTAAAATTGGTGGCAGTTAAATGTGCTTGGCTTGTCCAGATTTCATTAATACTGAAACAACACCTTAACATCTTGGGTACTCATTGGACTTTTCATATTATTAAGAGCTCAAATTCATGGGGGTGGGGGTTCATAACAGGCTTTTTCCCCTTTATTGAGTTTACTAAAAAAAATGTATAATTTTAAAAATATTTAAGATATGGTGACAATGTTGCCTGGATTTTCCTGTACATTATTGGAAGTAATATCCATTAACATTATTAGTTTTAGCACCATCACCTACTGGCATATTTTCCAGAAGTGTGAAGTTGGTGAGGCAGAGGCATTCTTTATCCCAGTTGGAAGAGTTTTCACGTAGTTTTGAACAATCTGAGCATCTCTCTGAATAGTTAACCTGCCAGAAAGTAAGAGAAACAAGTAAAAGTTAATTGGATTTGGCTTGATCATCACCATCTCAATGGAAATTATTATAATAGCTCATCCGACCTCTCTTCCAATAAACTAAAGGTAGTATAATTTATCTCCCCCACCTTTATCCTTATAACCACCTGTGAGGTAGGTAGGGTGCCAACCTCCAGGTGGGGCCTGGAAATCTCATCTCCAGACTATAGCGACCAGTTCCCCTGGAGAACATGGCTGCTTTGGAGAGTAGACTATTTTATTATACCCAACTGCAACCCCACCTGTTCCCACGGGCTCCACCCCCTAAATCATCAGAAATGTCCCAACCCAGAGAGTAGGCAACCTTAAAGGAAGGCTAATCAGGATTCTTAAACAAACCTGTATTTCTTTCACACTTGTTACAGCCAGTAGAAGAGCAATTCCCACAGCAAGGCAGAAGCAGCCAATTCCAAAGAAGGTGGGGATGACCAACGCAGGTTTGAGCCTGGGCTTCCAGGCAGGGAGTTTCTGTTGTTTAAATGCACTGTTATCAGGGCACCTCAATGGCTGTTCTGGTGCAGGAGAGCTGTTTTTACACATGTTGATGTTGCTAGAGAACAATGTCTCTTTGGGAGAGCTTTGCTTGATAAAGCCAGCATATACATTGCATTTTTAAACCTTTGTACTTCCTGGAATTACTTATTAACTTATTCATCCTATATCTCAATATACCGATCTTCACTTTTCATCAGCTTGTGCCGCCTACCCGCTGCTGTACTTTAATCAGAACTGCAGGAAGTAGATAATGCCACTGACAGGTTTCTGCACAAAATCACCTCTCTCTTTTTCTACACAATTTAGGAGATAATTTAACAAGTTTTTAGCTATGGGTCCTCTACGGCTTGGAAGCAGCCTGAAAACCCTGCGCATTTTGTGACACATTGCTGCTGTTTCCCTTTTTGTTGCCTGACGAAGCTCAAGCAGAATCACACTCTGTTGCTTTGCACACAGAAAATAGTTTATGCATTCCAAAGCTGCCTTGGAGCTGACAGGAGTCTACTGCTAACCCAGCAGATTTTGTTGGGTACGACGAAAGTAAAAATAAGGTAATCAGAGGATGGAGTGAAATTCTATTGGTTACATTTGCTCTAGATTTCAGTGCAGTTAATCACCTGCCCCCACCCAGCACCCAGTTTTTTCTATATTTAGTGGGTTTAAGAATCATGACAGAAGCCACAGGACTTTTGCCAGTTAAATGCCAGTCCCATTATGCCTGAAAGGTCATGGTAGCATATATTAGTTCATAAGGATTTAATAAAGGTCAGCAACACTGAAAGTGGTTTCTCTGAAAGGAAAGCAGAAGCGGCAGCAGTCTCTGTGGGTGAACCAATATTGGTGGTGGTCTAAAAGGTGCTTTGGTGGTCTTTTAGTATTGTAGCATGCATATTATACCCGCTCTGCAGCCATTCTGTTGGCAGCCCTTCAGTTACCAGGTTCAATACAAGGTTTTGGCTGTCACGTGCAGTGACCTTTATGGCCTTGGACCCTCACATCTGTAGGACTGCCTCTCCCCCGGTGCTCCTCCATGACAGCTTCACTCATCTGATCAGGGCCTTCTGCAGAAACTACCCTGCAAATGGTTGAGATCAACAATCCTTCCTACATGGGCATTCTGTTGTGGCCCCCACCTTATGGAATGGCCAGCCCGAGAGACTGGAAGGCTCCCACACTTATGACATCCCACAAGTTATTGTTCAAGAAGTTACTCTTATAAAGGCTATAGGTCTATATTATGAAGGAATGGTTAAAGAAGAAGAAGAGACTGGATTTATACCCCACCCTTCACTACCCAAAGGTGTCTCAGAGCAGCTTACAACTCCTTTCCCTTCTCCTCCCCACAACAGATACCCTGTGAGGTAGGTGGGGCTGAGAGAACTCTTCACAGAGACTGCTCTTTTTTCAAGCTCTTATCAGAACTACGGCTTGCCCAAGGTCATCCAGCCAGGTGCAAGTGAAGGAGGGGGGAATCAAACCCGGTTCTCCCAGATTAGAGTCCACGCACTAAACCACAAGGTGATTTAATAAAGGGAACTATCCTCTCGGCTACACTACTGTGTATAGCATGTATTATCTGTTTGCTTTATGTATTATCTTGTTCTCACTACTTTGTAATCACACCTTTTGGCATGGTTAACATTTCATGTCTAATACTTCTGCTTGTTTTCAGATTTCTGTAACCCTAGTCCTATTACCTGCTTATCAGATATCTTATTCTACTGATTGCACTGATTTACATCGTGTAATCTGCCTTTGGTCTCAATAAGAAAGGCAGACTATAAATAGCATAAATAAATAAAGGGAGGGATTTAAGGTTCTACTGGACTCTTACTTTTTTCTAGCTTATTGAAGGTAAGGAGAGGCTAAGTGGCACTTTTTAATATATCTATATCTAAGTTTTAATATAAGGTTCTATCAAAATAGGCTAAATATTAATACTGTTGGAACCTGCCCTGAGCCTGCTTACAGGGTAGGGTGGGATACAAGACCGATAAAATAAAAATAAATAAATAAATGAAAAGAGTTAAAATACTAACGAGGACAAGCAGTTAAAAATACCTTTGGGTACCAACATTTTGTCACTTCTCAGTGCTGTAGCTGCTCAAACTACTCAGGTGTAGCTAATTTTAGTTCCAAACAGGCTCAGAAGTTCTTGGGTAGTTTTACTGCAGTATGGGAAGGGTTAAAGAGAGGGTCAAACAAAAGGACAAGGATTAAAGCTGAAGTCACAGGGCTAGTTTAAGCTTTAATATCACCTTGGAACTTTATTACATTTAAAGTACTAATACCAGAGAGAGTAGGGACAGTGAGTTCACAGACAAGGCTAAACCTTAGGAAAGCTTTTGAAATAGATAAAGGGGGAAAAGGAAAATTTAGCAGACTTGCGACTTCAGCAGCCGGGTGAGGAAGCCAGGGCACTAATATCTCCACGTCCCTCAAAAAGGGTAAGCACACTTTCCAAAAAACAAATCTACATAAATAGGAATGTTATTAACAAGGGGATTTTAAAAAGAGCCATTATGAAGGTAGAATGCCAGCAGGGGGTTGGGGGGCTATCCAGTGTAGTGCACGGAATGTATGACTATCTGCTAGCTGGACAGAAGTCACGGGTGTGTGGAAGAGCGCAGTAAAAAAAGAGCAAATGCTATGCTGGGGTTTATTAGGAAGGGGATTGAAAACAAATCAGCCAGTATCATAAAATCCCTGCATAAATCTATGGTGAACAGTTCTGGTCACTGTACCTTAGAAAAGATATTCTAGCATTGCAGAAGATGCAGAAATGGGCAACTAAAACGCTAAGGGGATGAAACGGCTTCCGTATGAAGGAAAGTTAAAGAGGTTAGGGCTCTTTCGCTTGGAGAAACAAAGATTGAGTGGTGACATGATAGAGGTTTACAAAATTATGCATGGGACAGAGATGGTAGAGAAAAAGGTACTTTCCTCCCTTTCTTACAATACAAGAACTTGTGAGCACTCAATGAAATTGATGAGCAGTAAGTTTAGAACAGAGAAAAGGAAGTACTTCTTTACCCAAAGAGTAATTAACATGTGGAATTCATGGCCACAGGAAGTGGTGGCAGCAGCCACAGGAAGTGGTGGCAGCAGCCACAAGCATAGACAGCTACAAGAGGAGACTGAATAAACATACGGAACAGAGGTCCATCAGCGGCTATCAGCCACAAGGTATAGAGGGAACACTATCTCTGAGGCAGGTGATGCTTGGGGGGGTCACAGTGGGAGGGCTTCTGGAGTTCTGACCCCACTGCTGGTGGACCTCCTGAAGGCATCTGGGTTTTGGCAACTGTGTAACACAGAGTGTTGGACTAGATGGGCCAGTGGCCTGATCCGACATGGCTTCTCTTATACTCTTATGGTAGAGATGATTAATGCTTAAAGAATACTTCTGATGTGTTTCACAATCACTTCTCTCAAGGCCCACAGTTATAATTCCCATTTACCAATGGGAGGTGGAGACACTGGCTACATTCAGGCATCATGAATGATCCATAATTTGTTAATGAGGACAAGCCTCACTTCCTGGCTTATTCTTGGGGCTTGTGAACTTTTTGCCTCTCTCATATGTTAGACTGATTTCCCATGACGAAAGACTTCTTTGTTTATGAAGTCTTCAATCTAACTCCAGTTTGGTGTGATATGAGAATATGAGTGGCCTAACACAATAGGGTTGCTCTCTTTCCAGGTAATTGGGTTTTGCTTGCAAAGAAGGGAGGAAAAAGAGAAAGCATGAAAATAAGCCAGGATTGGAAACTTTGTCACTTCATGGGCAAATGCTGGCTTATTTGATAGCTAGGGCAACGTTGTGGTAGACCCGTTGGTCATGGATTTGTAGTGCAATCGTTAAGGGATTTTTTAACAACAGAGTAGGTTTTGTCATTTATTATCTAGCTTCAGTGATACCTAGTTGTGTCCAGCTCGTGTGAGGTTTAGCATTTGCTAGCCATTAGTGGTCTGAAGTTCTGACGTAGACCTGCTGTGGCAGCAATACCTGGCCAACAGATTCTGGTCCTCGTGGGGAGGGGAAAGTATAGCGGTGGGCCCAGGCAGTATAGCAAGGGAAGGACACTGAGAAATAAAATGGCTCGGTGCCCTTCCAGCCTGCGACCCATCCCAAAGGTTGTTGGCAGTGGGGCCAGGATTGATAACCCCCCTCCGGCATTGGTGTTGTGCAACGCCAGGTCTATTAATAATAAGACCACAGTCCTTCGGGACTTTGTCCTGGACCAACGGGCTGACCTGGCATGCATGACCGAGACCTGGGTACAGGATGGGGAGACCCCACAGGGGTTCTCGGTCCTCCACCAATCACAGACTAGGGGGAGGAGTGGCTATTTCCATTCAGGAGGCTTACTCCTTCCGGGCACTCCCACCTGTGGAGATCACGGGCTTGGAGTGTGTTGGCCAGATGCTGGAGGCTGAGGAGAGTTTGGCGATCTGGTGGGTGTAACGCACCGGCCAGTGGTCTGCCGTCCCTGCTGGAGGTCATATTAGGCTGGGCGTTGGAGCACCCTAGACTGGTAGTCATGGGTGATTTCAACATCCATGCCAATGACGCGGCTTCTAGCCGGGCTACGGACCTAGTGTCGTCCATGGCAGCACTGGGACTCTCGCAATTTGTATCAGCCCTCACGCATCGGGCCGGTCACACGCTCAATTTGATCTTCGCAACAGGGTTGATTGTGGACCGGATTACTGCGGAAGCGATACCATGGTCAGACCACTATGCACTGAAGGCCCGTCTGAATGTGCCACCCCGACCCTGTTTAGGCGGCGAGCAGATTTTAGCTCGTCCGAGGAGCCAAATGGACCCAATACGGCTTCAAATGGCTCTTCGGGATCTGAGGCCGCCTGGCGGCTTGTTGGATGAGCTTGTGGAGGACTGGCATGGCCGACTCTCCGCAGCCATCGACGAGATCTCTCCCAGGCGCCCTCTCCGCACCAGCATCAGGCTGGCACCTTGGTATACCCAGGAACTTCAGCTGATGAAGCGAGAGCTGAGATGGTTAGAGAGACAGTGGCGCCGT